GCCCCCCCCCCAACCCCCCCCCCCCCACCCATCCCAGATGCTTGGAAATAGAAACCTAAAGTAAATAATTTATGTATTTTTACTTTTACTTGCAATATTCGAATCAGTACCTAGGCACAGCATTTATTCTTTGGCATTTGAAACTATAACAGCCTGTTCCATGTTTTCAAGCAACAATTTATAACATATTTTTCAGTTTTTAAGGATTGGTGTCTGTGCAGAAAACATTAAATGCATACTGATTAAAATTAATTGCAAACAAATTACACAGAAAACGATCAATTTTCCCATATATTAATGCCTCATTAAACGTCTTGCTACTCTTCAAAAGTAAGGTTTTTCAAACTAGGAAACTTAAATCCTTAAATGCTTGTTCTTTCATGAGAACTGTATATTCAGAATCTATTATTTCAAAAATCTTTATTCAAATCAGCATTACTTGAATATCTTGTATGAGAAGTCATTTTTTGCCTATGAACTGATCACAGAGGGTCTGATATTAAACTATATTTTTAAATCTTAAAATTAATGGAAAACACATCCTTTTAATGATACATCCACTGCAGTTAAGCCTAAAATGTACAAAAGAAACCAAAAGTCTACATTGACTCAGAGGAGTTCTTTTAATTGCTCCCACACAGAGACAGTGTAAAAACCTTTCAAATAGACAGGTGTTGCCTGATGAGTGTTTCTGTTGTGCTGCTAACTCAGGTGTCTTTGGATCCCCTGGTCCTGCCCGGTCACTCTCCCCAGCCATGGCTCAGCCACTCACAGGAACACATCTGGTATCTGGAGGACACAAAGGCCTGAATCACAAATCCACATTACAGCTGTCCAGCACTGCCTACCATGCATCAGGATAATTCTGCCCTGGGAACACCCCTCTTGCCATGAACTGAGAGAATGCAGCAGACTGCTGAAAAATGCCAGGTCCCAATCCTGCAGCTGACCAGGGCTTATCAGGACTGCCATCACCTGAGACCAAACTCACAGCATCACTTCTGATCCAAGCAAACAGCCCTTTCTGAATCTCAACACGCCACCAGTACTCTCATTGTCAACCCAAACTTGAAGTGTCCTCAGAAATAAAATACTACAACCTCACAACATCATTTTGCTGTGTTCTGTGGAGGAAAATTGAAGTAGTGTTCCACAATTTAAACAGAAGTTTATAAACTTTTTTTTTTATTGTTTCAGGTTTTGTGTTCAGACAAATTCTCCCATGCATATCTGTGTGTACTTTGTTTGCAGTACAAACAAAGAGCTGCTGCTTTCCTTTTACAGTCCCAGTCAGTCATGAATTATCCCTCTGTGTTATAGAAGATGTAAACAAGAAACCAGGAAAAGTCAAAATACTGTTTGACCTTTCACAATCAACCCATCATCACTCCAGACCAATTAATTACATAATTAATATGTTATTTCCGCCATATTGTATATTATTAATTTTTGCTAATCTATGTCTGATTAGATTGAAATGGCTGAAATTTTTGTGGCAGGTTTATTTGCTTTTACTCCAAAATTTACATTTAAAATAAATAATGTGACATAGCTAAATATAAAAAGAATCACTGCTAGATTGTTCTGTTAGTTCATGAAATTATCAATGAGAAATGTTTGAATGTGAATGGGGATGGTTTAAATGTAGAGAATCTGAATGTACTCAATGTACTTAGTAGCCTTGGTAAAATATTAGATAAACTGATCAAAACTAGCTTTCAGGAAAGGAAATTATTTTTCCATGTTCCTTTAGCAAGCTATGCCTTTTTCCTCTTTTTCTGGCAAGAGAAGAAAGATGAAAGGCTGTACTCCTCTGATGAAAGGATTTTATTGTTATTTATTTATTCATTGGCTTCTGTATACAATTAATTCATTTGGCATCAAGAGGAATCAGCAGATGCTTTGAAGGAGAGAAAAACAAAACAAAGTACTATTAGCCGAGTGAAGGTTACATTTATAGCTCGGTACCAAAACCCCACAGTGCTCAGTGTTTGTTGGGCGTGCAAATTGAGGTCAGGCCAGCCCGTGCTGCAGCATTTGCTGCTCTCAGAGCCAGGTTCCTGCTGCCCTTTGTCAGCCGCTGTCCCGGGAGCGGCCGGGCCTGAGCGCGGTGTCCTCCGGGCCCGGCCCAGCCTGGGCTGGGAGCTACCGGG